AAAATAGGTTTAAATCCAGTGAAGTCTGTGATATTTAGGGATGGAAGAGTTATGTATAATGTTTCTTTTATAAGAAGTTCAGTATCATGTTTGGCTGTTGAAAGAATTTTAAAGTTTGAAAGAGAAATTGGATGTCTTGTTTCTGTATTGTGTTGATAGATAGCAGAGATGGGAGGGTTTGTAACCTTTCTTCCAGTTTTTATAGATGTGCCCATGCATTCACATAGTCGTACTTTAAGGTGACATTTGGTTTCACCAATATAGGAGGTATTACATTCTCTGCACATATACACGTACGAGATGTGAACAATAGGAGTCAGCAAACAATCTTTTAAGTATCTAACTTTTGCCCCAGTTTTCATTTTCTATGGTTATATTTGTATATTCAAATTGTTTATTTCTTGTGTATATATTTCTGTTGTAATTACAAATATTGTTTGCTAGTTTCATAACCCTAGATTACTGATGATGGAATTATGATAATTCTGAAATGTCTAATAAATGCTTCCTGTTATTACATTCATGTTCTGTTTTATCACAAAGATACCTATGTCTAAAAGAAGAACCCCATTTACTTAAAAGTTAGAAACTATAAACAGCTTAAAACTTGTTAAAGTGGCACCAGATGATATCAAGGTGATGGTGATGAAAAGTATTGTAGTTTGTTCTTTTATTAAGCTGTTTCTAGCTGTTGATACTTAGTTTAACGTATAAAGATACTTGACATAACATATAGTAAACAGATGGAGAACACAGCCTAATGGAGTTTATTCAGTCTTTCATTAAAAGTAATGATCTGAATAGGTTTATATTAGTATTATTATTACTTTTCAATTCTTCAGACTAAGTAAAACTCTGTTGCTGTTGCTGTGAGTTTCATGTACTCATAATAAATATATCAGAAGTGACAACAAACATGCCCAATATCCTGTGTTTTAATGGTGGGAAAATGACACAAGATTTTGAAAAACTATATTTGTTTTATACCCACAAAGATCCTTAAAAATAAAATTATAACTATAACTAATGTGTCGAGATTTTAAATTTTTTGTTATGCAAGTTTCTTTTTTGATGAAGTAGTTAAAAAAATTTAAACTTCTAGGTCTAAATTTTGATTTTTTTGTCCAATTATAATTAAGATTGAGAAATTGTTAAATTTCCCACTTTTTCAAATATAACTTGTTGGTAAATGAAACTAAGATGCATATCTGTAAATTTTGCACTCATTACTTGAAAGTCATTTTTAACTCATCTAGTCTGAAAACAGTGGATTTTTGAAATTGGTGATGTCATGAACTGTAATATTCATTTATCCACATTTTGTTTTATAAATTTAAAATTTCTGAAACTGACAAAATTATTTATATATCTCTGAAAACTGAAATTATTTTCTTTCTTCAAAATTATATGCCTAAACTATTTGTGTAGTTACACTAGACTGTAAAGTCAAAAAATTAATATGTTTTGAGGTACCTCAAGGTTGCAAAGGGCTTTTATCTTTGAAGTTAGTAATGGTTTTCTATTACATGTAAGCCATAGAAAGGTAATAAATTAACTTAATGAGTTTTCCTCAATGTATATTTATTTTACTAAAGCAATTGTCTTCATAATTTATTACCATTAAACCATTAAGGGACCTCTCTGTAATTAAAACTACTGCCACACATGTATAAGATTTAAATGGTTAGCTGTACATTCTAAAAAAAATATCTCCTGTAAAACTGTTTTCTCTGTGATGGCAATTTGTCAAACACTAAAAATTAATGATGGCAGTAATAGGTATATTGATATGTACTACCATATTTTGAAAATATGTCAATGAGTCATTAAGAAACATATATCATTACATCTTGAATTTTCCATGGTTAGATGGGACCATATATACATTCTTTTCTTGTCTGTTATTGAACAATAAAAGAAGTACAAATGGTTGTCTATTTCTTAGTTGTTTTCTTAACATGTGTATGCAATCTACATATCCCAAAACTTTCTAGCTTGCATTCATCAGATCTATTCTATTTTTCAAACCTGATACATTGAGATGAGTGTTATTGATAATTCACCAAATACTTGTCTGGTTTACTACACATACATACTATGAATTGTGAGTGCCTTTTACTTTAGTTTAAAAATATTCTCCCTCAGTTTGTCATGCAACTACTTTACAATTAATCTGTACATAAGATAATGACACAAAGATATTATAGAATTTAAATGATTAATAAACCTGCAACTTGTGCTTATGAAAAAAAAGCCCAATCTATAATGCAATTATGGTACAATGATACTGTAGAACTTAGATGAGTTATAAACTTTCAAGTTGTGCCTATGAAATAAAATTAGCTCAATCTGTACCATATATTAGAAAATTAAAAGGGTAATTACATATAAATGTAGTAGCACTGTTACAATACATTTATCATAAATAATGGCATTCCCAATATTTCTGTCATTAAGTTATAATACTTCTTGTCCTCGTTCATGTTCATTTTTCTTTATAACATTTTCAATGATTTATTTGTATTTCAGGAGAATATTCTGATTCAAAATGATTTCAGTAGGCTTAACAAACAATAAAAAAGCGTAGAAATGTGTTTCAATATAGATAAGCTTTAATCAAGCTTTTAGTTTTAGAATGAATAATTACAAGCAAAGATTTGCTTGATTTAAAAATAATGTGGACTTTATGGAAAAAATTAATAAAACTGTAATTGTTAAAAATAACTAAGTTTTCACCAGAATGATTTTTAGAGAAGAAGTCCAACTAGGATGGAGAGTACCTAAAGCAATTTAGAAATAGAAAGTTCATACAACACTGCTTTAACTTCACTTTTAGTTTTATTATAATGTTAAATTTTGTTATTATTATAGAATTGGTAATGATTTGTTAACTTAAGACTAACCTTTAAGGGCTTCCGGAATGACATATATATAGATACATAACCTAGAATATCTTATCCACTAAACTAAACTTTAAAAAACTCAAAGCCTCTTTAAATTTGTATTCAATAGTTCTGTAGATACAATCTAAAATTCTATTTTCACTGCCACCAGCAACAGCACATTGTTTGGATGGCTTAAGAGACTGATCAACTACAACATCAATATTCTTTTCTTCTATCACACTGTTAAAGTTATTCCTAACAAAATTATATACACATTTCAAATGATAATATTCCATATTCCTTACTATTATTATAATCGAAAGTAAATCCTTTTGTAAAGCAGCAGCAGCATCCTCACAGCCAGCAACACACAAAACCTTAATATCATCAGCAAATTCAGATAATTTATTTACCCTTTCTTCATCTATGTCACTAACACAAATAAAAAAAAAAAGAGGCAAATATCCTCACACTGAGCCCTGAGGTACCTCACTTGTCACTAATCCAGTTTGACTGAACTCCATTAACAACCCTCTGCTTTCTTCCATTTAGCCAATTTTCTATCCCATATCCTAAAAACCTACTGAGACACTTCTTTAACAAGACTTTTATGTGGTACTTTTGTCAAATGCTTTCTGAAAATCTATATACATCAAATCTATACCCATACCCTCAACTACATCAGCAGTAACCTCTAAAAATTAAAGATTAAGTTTAACTTTAAACTTCTCAAACAAACGGCGAAGAAAAATTAACATTCATACTTAACAATTATTTATTAAAAGTTAAAAAAGACAGTTGACAGACTACTTTTTATTTATTAAATTAATTTTAGTTTATCTTCAAGGTTAAACAAAGGCTAGCAGATTACCTTGTCTTTGTTAGTATTAGTATGCTGTTATCAGTTTTGAAAAATATCTGCAAAATTTGATCCACACCTTAACCTCCTCTTCTATCTATTGGCCAATAACAATCTCTTCGCCAGAACGTTCAATTAGTCCCGTTAAGATGTACTAGTAGTTTATGACGTCATAGGTTTATGTCATACCCCCCACAAAATCAAAATCTTGCATAGATGGAAGAAGTAACCATTGAAATATGCTGTAAAAATATAAAAAAAAAGAACAAAATTACTGGTAACTAAAAGGAAAATAAATCTACCGGACACAATAATCTTATATCGCTACAAATTTATTATATCTGTCTCAATAACAAGCCATATATTAATAAAATCATTCTCATATTGTCATATCATACATTTAATACATAATCACTGAAATTATGTAGCCTAATTTTCCTTGGTTCATAAAAACCGAATCGCCTTTTAATATCTTGCATAACTATTTTTTTTAAAGACATAACAAAAAGTATAAGTATAGCAAACATAGATATAAATAAATAATACTGGACTGGCCACACTTCGCTACTCTTTATCATTGAGGGACATGTGCGCATGCGGCCGCCATTGCTGTGTGTTGAAGTTCGAACTGGCAGACAATGTAAAATGGCTGAGAGTGACAATCGTCCGTCTAAGCCTCGACCCGAAAGAACGAAGGGAATACAGTGTTATGCCATTAACTGTCACACATACCATAACCAATAGTTGAAGGAGGAGAGTGTTACATTTTCAATAATATATTAAGTTATAGTGAGCGACATCGAACTAGCGTGAATGTTTAAGTCTAGTTTCAAAGTATATATGCGCGTCTTTTTTCTTTTTCTTTTTGGAAGGCATTTCACCTACACAAGTCGGCATGACAGTTTGACAGCTTTTGATTTGAAGTGATCACAATATTGTTGCGTCAGCGAGGTCACGTGACTAGTATCACGCCACGTCCTTCTAG